ACCAACGCACGCAATTCTCCAAAGTAGAGCTTATAGCAACAATAATCGGATGACCCATTGTCTTCCCCACTCCTGAATTCGCAATAGGATAGCAAATGCCAAGATCAGCTATAGGGGCAGCATGGCCGCATAACATAGCAATTGGAGTGACTTCCTGTCATAACAAAAACTTATTCAGAATAACATATATTATACTTCAAACTCGGGAAAGAATCAATATGTTATAGTAATTAATAATCTAACCAGCAAACAATTTAATAAAATGCTAACTACACTAGAATGAAATATAATCCATACATTCGTACATCCAATGGACAATCAAGTAAGACTTTGTTTGATTTCCAAGATTATGATGATCATCAAATTAAATCACCCTCATTATGAACTTCCAGGCAAATTAAATCCAAAAAAATAAAAAATTTAACCACCAAAAGCAAAGAAAAGTAGTATACTTGAGTTAGCCCCGGACAACTACAAGGCCCTGAAATATACTACCTTCTCTCCATCAAATGAACATGAAAAGGACGATTAATTGTGACTAACTGAAACAAACACAAATCACAAAAACGAGCCAAGTTTAAAAGAAAAGGAGGAAATAGAAACCGAGTTGAGCTACCAAATTGGTATCGGACGAGGAGGATAGGTTCCACCAGATTATGGAGCCATCGTATCCGCCGGTGTAAAGCGTGGCCGGTTTGGCCAGTGCCGCAGTGGCTGTGACCCGGTGAGATGGAGGGGCGCCTGACCATATGCACGCTACATGTCGACACTTCATTGGCCGAGTTAGTGCTGGTCACTCCGATGCCGGTGGAAGAATCGGTGAACGAGTTCTGGCTTCTGAATTCTAAATTTCTGAGACGTGAGGGAAATTGCCCGTTCACGTGCTGATGTTGCTCCTTTCAGCACCGGAAAAAGAATGACGACCCCTGGTAAATGTAATTCTGCAGTGCAAAGGTAAACTGAGGGCAAATGTAAGTTTTTTTACAAAAAGAAAAAATACCTCCAGTATTATTTGATTTTTTTTATTTAAGCTCATATATTTTTTCGGATATATTTAATCTTATTCAAATCATGAATGCTTAAGTTCTTTTTTTTTTTGTCTATTTTCTTTATTTCAAAATTTTTTCGAATTTACCGTCGGCTTTACTTGTTGTTTATGAATTTTAAATTTTATACTAATAACTGTTTGTGTCAAAATTAAGATATGCAAATAATGATATGGTATATGATGACTATAATATCTGATTAAAAAAATTTAAAATTTTATCCGCATCCCCTGATTCTTGACATCTTCTTCATTCAAGCTCTGCTATTTATTTGAGTCTTAATCTTGTAAATTCTCAAATTTCTAAATGTAATAATAAGAGTTAAGTAATTAGAGGATGAATTAATAATTTAATAAATAGAATAATCATATTTTGATTTTGCAAGCTTTATTGAATTTTTTGCAAATAAAAAAGTTTTATTAAAAATTATTGTTCTTAAAAATATCAAAAAATCAGGACAAATAAAAAAACATAAAACCCAACTAAATTTATTGTAAGGAATAATCATACTATAAATACAATTTTTCATTTACCTCTACTCAGCTTCTTAATTTG